CCCCCCTCACCTTAAATAGTCATGAAATGAGTCAGTTTAAATTTACTGAAATTAAATATCATGAGCAGTCAAACAGTGCAGCAGCAACAACCTGCTCAGTGATCAGTGACAGTAACAGGGGTTGGGGGGGGCCTTCAGGTTTGTGATGGTAGTCTCATCATTGACACCATATCTAGAGCAGTGGGCAGCAGGAGGTCCTCAGCTGTTGAATTGTGTCTTGCGATTCTGTTACAGAGCTCCAGACTAACTTTTCTAGTGGTAGCATGATGCTACCAGCTTTCTTCACTGGTCGCACCAGCTAATGATCTGGTCGCCCCACTCCCTTATTTTGGATCAGCATTGCCACAGCTATTAATGCACCATGCAGCTGATGAATAGTTGCCATTGCATCACTTAGTTATGATGCAATGATCTTCAGAGATACGACTAGACATTTGTAAAATGTTTTCATCTTAAAATATATTTATTTTGTCACCAATCCTCTTCTAGTACCAGTCATTAACTGGACACAGGCTAAACAATTGCTGAAAGTGCCTATAGGTAGATGCTACATTTTACCGATGTTCCCCAAACGCCTCACATGTTGCTCCGGTAGATGGTGCATTTTACCGATGTTCCCTGAACACTTCAAATGCTGCTCCGGTAGATGCTACCAGGTGCGCTGTGTTTTCCTTTTGACGTCGATTTACAGATAAGTTGTTTATGATTCGAAAAGCCAAACTTTATTACAGCAGAGTTTGCTAACATCTTTCCCAGGGAGCAGAGTCCTTCTCCCGCATTTACTGTCGTGGAGTGCCTGTGAAGAGGGGCGGGGTGGGGTGACAGGCCACAGCCCGTAAAAAAAAAATCCAAATTATAAATCTGTTAAACTATTGGTTACATTCGACGTGGGGAGTTTTGCATCCAATAACAACAAAGCTATGACTAAACAAATGAAACAGTTCAGAGGCAGCTTAGTGCGGTCCTTGCAGCCGTGGTCTCGGCTGGTCTCGCAGTAAAATCCCGAGTCCTCTATGGCCGAGACCGAAACAATACCGAGTAAAAATGCGGTCGAGTCCAAGACAAGACCGAGATCTTCAAAAAGTGGTCTCGAGACCGGTCTCGAGACCGAGACCGATCTTGAGTACTACATCACTACTGGAAACTGTAAGAATTTTGGTTTAGCATTTAAATACCACATATTCAACGCATCTAATCTAGCTGACAAAACTAACAGTTAATTCAAGTGCTTCCTCTGAGATACAGTGTCCCACCGGCCCAGTGATACATAGGGAGCTTGTACCTCACTGTTACTGCCGTACATTCCAGCTTGAGAGAGCCACAGACTGACACCAGCCCTGTGAAACAGAATTTAGGG